CACTTCAGCTGCAAGAGTGAACAGGTCGAATGGTGTAATACTCCCTTAGTCCTGAGTGAACAGTCCGTAACCAGCAGGTCCTCTAGCACTCTTGTGAAACAGGGAGCATAATTAAGGCCCCTAAGAAAAATCTAAAAGTTGTTTCTCAAACCCAAGTTCTTACTGTTGAAGATGAGAGGGAAGAAGTGTTTTGATTGCTCATTTCTGGGGCAGTTTGTCAACGATCACATTAGAGTCTGTTTCTGAACTCTCAGTTGACTCAAAACCCTGTAGATCTGAGTATAATCTTTCATAACTTTACCAAAAGTAACCATAACCCAAAGTGATGTTCTTTTCCCTTTGGTTTGCTTACATAACACAGTTTGACTGGCTAAAATCACTGGGTATCACACAAAGGGGAATAGAGGTAGCACTCTTCACCTCAGATGTCATACAATGAGCAGCAGATCTGATGTACCTCAACTGACTGTTCCCTAGGAATTTGGCATTGGCTGAAAATAGTACTGAGGGTAACTTGCATTGACCATGTGATGACACTTTGAGTTGCAAAATTACTTTCAGATAACTTGCACTGAAAAAGTAAAAATAGCACAGTACATTAGACTCATCTTTGTGGAATGTATATATGCAAAAATAGGGCTCCTTAATATTTACAGTTTGTCTAGGCAGAACAACCTGTCATGTTACACTCTGTTTCACTTTTAGGCAAACAATTTGCACTGATAATGTTGCAGGCTGTGCTATTTTCAAATGTACAGCAAATGTTAGAGAAGCATTAATTTAACCATTCTCTTCCTAGCAAATAGTGTGACTCTGACATGCCATTAGTGGGCTCAGACAAAGGTGAGGAGTCACAGCTTTAGAAAAAAAAGGCGATCTAAAATGTGTCCCAGTGTAACAGACTAATTAATCTTTAGATAATAACAGATTTTTTTTTTTCCTTTTCTCTTTGCAGCTGGGAGTGTTCACTCTCCCTCCACAAGCATGGCAACATCTGCGCAATACAGACAGCTTATAAATGACTACGGACCCCCATCTCTAGGCTATACACAAGGGATGCAGGTAGAGCTCTGTTGCTTGTTTTACTTTAATCAGATCCCTGACCCTACTTTTGCATAGTAGCATGGATTGTGGCCTGTAATCTGAGGTGTTCCTCCCTCCCACCAAGATCTGAAATCAAACCCAAATGGCAGACTGATTCATCGCACATGTCTTGGGATCAAATTAGACCAAGCAGTGCTGAGTGAGATTGGTTACTAATTAACTGTTAGTCCCATCCCTTCTGAGTCACAGTGAAAAACGTCTTGAGTTATGTTCTGATAGTAAGAGCTCTAACATATTTTAAAATTGTTAAAAGTTGAATATTTCTGTACTGTTTTTCATCAGCAAAATTACACTCTAAAATTTAGTGTCATGAGGAATGCGTCCTGTGGGCTGCTTCAGGAATCCGGTGGTAAACTTTCTGTGAAATGTATTTGACTTAACAGGATTTCTGTTATCATCTGGGCAGTTCTATGTATATCTGTTTCTCACTCTTCCCTGCCTACCTAACTTCTCCACAAAATACACACCTAAACATTGATGGAAGCAGAAAGAGAGTTAAATAGGCAGATCTCTGTTTTCTGTTTTGCAGGACTGTTTTAACGTCTGTTTCACGTAAGGTCCCAGTGTTGCAGCTGCATCCTCCCAGTTGATCCCACTTTTTGAAGGGCACGTAGCATTGTGTGGCAGCAACTGCAAAAAGAAAATCCTGTTTATATAAAAAAACCTGAAATTTTATTTTTTTAAAAAATGGCTTCCAGGGCTATTTCTGGTCCCCCATGAATGTCCAGTTGCTGTTTGTTGTAATTGTTTTGGTTTTAGCAGTATTTAATTGAGACTAATCTACTTTCTACTACAGGGTACCAGCAGCAGTCAAGTACCGCAAAGCAAATATGCAGAACTTCTAGCTATCATAGAAGAATTAGGAAAAGAGATTAGACCCACATACGCTGGGAGTAAAAGTGCGATGGAGAGGCTAAAAAGAGGTAATGTTTAAATTTATTAAAAAAAAATAATAATTGTGTCACATACACTTTGCTCACTGACTTCTTGTATACAGCTTCATGACAACTGTTTCCTTTGAAAGGAGACAGCTGTCTTGAGCTCATCATGAAAATAGGTGTATTAACAAGAGACTGAAACCTTGTGATACTCTATTCATGCTGTATTTGAGAGATAAACCAGTGACCAAATGTGTTTCATGTGCACAAGAGGAGTTTCACTTAATAATTCAAACCTTACTTTAGAAGCCCTAAGGTGTCTATTGGATATGTTCTTCTAGATTCCTGGTGACTGACTGACCCCTTCAATTCCCTTTTCTCCCCAGTCTCCAAAATACACAACTGAGCATTGTTTACTTTTTCTCATATATATCACCCATCTACTTGACCCAAGAGTCTTTACTAAAAGTGCATTTTGCTTAAAGAAATACTACGTTGTGGTAATTCACACTAAGGCTGGTGGAGAGAAGGTCTTAAAAAGGAAAGAGGAAAAAAAAAAGGAAAAAAGGCTGTCAGTGAAAGCTATTGAGACTGAGATGTCAAACATACACCTTCCTCCCCTCTGGAGTGCTGGGCTGCTTGGCTGCCATTACCTGCTGTCAAGTGGATGTCATTAAGAGTCCACTAGTAAGGGACACAGAAGCTTTTAGGCCTGGCTGATGAGGTCTCTCTAGCTTTGCTTTGTCAGCTAAAAGGGGTAATAAATGCCCTTTCCTTGCAGTGTAAAAGAAACCCCCGCATGCCCCACTGCTGACATCAACTTGACATTGTCCTCTGCAGGGGACGTGCAAGGGATATTTCTGAAGGAGCAGTGGGACATTCCACTGCTCCAGCTCCTGAAATGACCCTGAAAGGCCATCGACCACAGTTGTGCTAGCAGTTCTGCCCTTTGCCAGGATAATGTGGTTGCCTTTTCCTGCCTTTCCTCAGTCCTCGTGCTGAGTTTGGCTCTATGTGTTCAACCCTGAACGGGAACGTTACTGTAACAGACTAACTTCACCACCTTGCAAATCCCCCTTACGTTTACCCAAGACTACAAAGCTTTATTTAAGGCTCAACCATTATGGGAGAGTAATATATCTGCCATGACGTGCAATAAAATGACTAGTAGCTGTTCTGGGAAAGGATGCAATAAAGTCTGCTGATGAGTGGTAAGTGGAATCTGGCCCAGCTAAAATCAATGTTGCTGGAGCCTCTCTTTATTGCATTGCCTGAGTCAGTATTAATAGATCATGAATGGCAATAGGCTAATGGGGACAACTTGAGAGAGACTGGGAGAGACGCAGACGTTCTCTGAACCGAATGGTTCCGTTTGGGGAGGAAAAGTTGTTTTGCTGCTCCTTGCAGTGAGCGTTCATTTTGTTGGCTAAGGCAGGTTTAAGATTCAATGCTGCCACTGTGATTTGCCAGTGTTGCAAAGAATCCTAAATAAATACTTTTTGCTGCCATCTTTTGGTCACAGACATACCTCTCTTTCCATTTTGGGAGCCTAATGGCTGCAGGAGAATGTGCAAATGTGAGAGCAGAAGTGACTAAGGGTAGCCACGTGACTGCAGCCTCCATGGCCGCGTGGAGATTATTCCTGAATAAAGTCCCTGTCCCCAGCTCCACCCGCTCCTAAGCACAGGGGCTACTGACCTCTAAAATTGGCCAAATTCCCAGTGTTCTACATAATTCAGGCTAGTTCTGCTGCATAAACTGGGCGTCCTGCCACCAGATCCAGGTCTAATGCACCGCTTTGAGTAGGCGTTCCCACATCCCACAGCTGTGGGATGCAGCTTTACTCGTCTGTGTCAGTTTAACCCTCTGCAAAGCTTTGTGCTCATCAAGTCCCGAGTCATTACTTCTTGGATGTAAACTCTCTTGCTGTGATCTGGGCTAGCAGCCCTGTAGAAACAGAATCCATTATCTTCAAACTGAGATTAAACCTCATTTATTGCCTTATTGTCCTTTCTCCACCTTGTTAAGGAGCATGATCGAGAAGAGAAATCTCCTTCTATCTTGTCCTGTCAGTAAAATATAACCTCGTTTGTTGTAAGAAAAATCTGTCCGTCTCTCATTTTAAAATCTCTCTAAAGCTCTGTTCTCTCAGCATCTCTGTGAACATGAATCTAGATTTAGTTCCAGGATTAAGAATCAAGGTCCAGATTGCTGGAACTCAAGGCAACAGGACTCGTCGTGGAAAATTCCACATTATGTCTATCAGATGAGAGTAGATATGGCAGCGTGTAAAGTGGTGATGATTTACACTGGGAGCTGAGCCAGTGTTAGGAGGTAACTTTTTGCACACACCATAAAAATTTCTTCTTATCCTTACAAGACACACAACTTGTGTTTAAGCAGTATTATGAAGGCTTGAATTTTGATGCATCCTCTCAGAGGAGAATTATCCCAAGGCATTAAGACTCTTAGAGCTTGTTAAAATGACTCCCCAAATAACTTTGCATTTTCTTCACTCCACTGTAGCAAAATAACTCACAGGTAGGTAAGATGATTTTTTTTCTTCTTTTCTAATTAAGTCTCTGATTTAAATAGGCCTGAACTGTGCAATAAGATATACCTGTCACTGCAGACCTACACATCTTACCATGCTTTGATTCCTGGTTTAAATCCCTTTTCAGTTTATAATGCCAGGTTGAGAAAGCAAACTTGTTTAGCAGCAGCTGATGTTTGGGAAGCGAGGGATCTCTCCCTTTTCTGAGGCATGCCGTGGTAGCCTTGGCAACTCGGGACAGAAATACGTAAACGTTTCTCTGAACTGTCACTGCAAGTGTGACCTGAATGAGATGATTTAAAATCCATCCAATTCTTTTGCAGGCATTATTCATGCGAGAGGATTAGTTCGGGAATGCCTGGCTGAGACGGAACGAAATGCAAGATCCTAGCCCACTGATTCAGCTGCAAGATTTTCCATCTCTTAATGAAGAAAAAGTAACACTTCTTTTGACTCTTGAAACATTCAAGACAAATTCCTTTATTTTGAATGTTTTACCTTTCTTGTTTTGCCCTTACAAAAATGTATAGTTAAGAATGAGAAAACAAGGATTTTTCAACTTACTGAGGGTTTGCATTTTGTAAAGACGTTAAAACTCCCTAAAATGTTTCTAAAACATGAAAACTGAACTGCATGCAGAGGCTCTCTCCCAGGCTATATTTCAGTTCTCTTCTTATCCAGCCACACTCTCATTCTGTTGTTTTTTTTCTTTGACTGTATTCACTTAACCCCAAACTGTCAATCTTTCAAAGTTTGACATAAGCTCTAAGGATTTTTTTTTAATAAATGCAGAATAGCATGCTGTACCTAGTAGTCTGCTAAGTCACAAATTGTCATACAGCATAGACCCTGCTTAGAAATAACCTTCCCTTCCTCTTATTTTTCCTTTTTTGTTCGTTTGGCATAAACATTTGCATGACTGTTAGTGCTTTGAAGTCCATTTAAAGTGCATGAGTTATATGGAAAATAGGGAAACCTATTAAATAATAACAAGGTCCTGGAAAGCTAATTTCTACATTAAGGCTGGAGATTTCAGTTTAAAGTTTGCCAAAAAAAAAAAAAAGAAAATTCTGGATAAATTACTAAAACTGTTATTTGCATCTTTGTATGTATTTATTACTTGACGTAATAAAGCTTATTTTCATTAACAATTTGTATTAAAGCTATGTACAGTCACTTTAATCAGATTCATACTCCATGAACAAGAACTCTCAACAGATAAAGATTCAAGCTTCGTGCAGGAGGCTCAAGTTCAGGAACAGACAAAGGAAGGGGCCTGCAAATTGCTGGAGAGTTTCTGTCCATGATACAGTCGAGATGCAGTCGGTCTCTGTAAGAAGGTGGTATGGTTGCTAGTAGTCTCCATTGCTTTCAAAATACTGTGGAAGGTGAGAACTCGGTGGCAGCTGGTGAGGGGCTGTGCAAAAATTAAAGAGAAGTTCTGGTTTAGCAATTAAGAGCTCTTAACGGGATCAAAATAGGCAAGTACACTTCACTTGTGGCTCCAAAGTAACAGTAACAAAGGAAAAGCAGCTGCGTGTCTTTGCATAAAATGGGAAACTGTCAAAATGAGTGAAGATACCAAAATGCCCGAGCTTAACTGCAGAATAGCATAAACATAGTAAATGACTGTAATTCACTATTGTACAATCAAATCTGTATCCTAAGGAAGGCGGGATATCTGGGATATCCAATACATACGGAGCTATGGTTACTTGAAGAAAATACCATATTAAGAAGCAAAGTTATTTACTTCACAGCTTGAATGAACTGGATTCTGTTGCCTTGGGAGGCAGCTTCCAACACGTGTTGTTCTTTATCTGTAATGACCCAGTTCTACCTTTGAACTGGATGAACATGACTGAGCAGGAGTGCCTTCCCCCCAGTGCTCATCACCGCTCCAGGTAAGATTTGTAAAGCTTCTGTTTAAACTTCCTTCAGAACTGAGTAGGGCAGAGCATTTGTGCAGCTCACAGCTCCGAAGGAGGCAACCAGTGACTGGTGTCTCCTCTATCAGCATGTCCATGTGCCCCATCAGAACCAGTATCTAAACCTGGGCACTGTTTATAAAGGATTAGTATCAGTAGAGACATTGCCTGAGCAAGGATGGAAAGTTCTAACCTTTTAGGGCTGCTCTCTGTATGTACTGGAACTCCTACGAAGCATCATAAGGTATCATCTCTGCAGAAAGAAATCTATTGAATTTTTTTTTGTCTCCGTTAACAGTGGTGGAAAGTTTACAGTTCCTTTATAACAAGGATTGGTTTATCATATTGTGAACCTGGCAGAAGAACTGATTGTTAAATGTGATTAATAAGATGATGGCAGACAGCAGTAGGAATACATGACTGCTTTTATCACTTTGGTTTTACAGTAATAGCAGGTCACTGCTCAGTATTTCAGTTGTGCTTACAAAGCTCTACATCATCTGTTAGTTTGAAAACTGTGTTTAGGAATAATGACAGATGTTTCCCTTACCCTACTAGGGCAAGTCAGTATTTTACATGTTCATTTCTTATCCAGTTGTTGCATCTCTTTAAAATGCTTTTTCCTTTCTAGGTTTTCCCTTGCTCTTCTTTTTTTCTCCTGCTTCTTCTTCTCTGATGCTTTCTTCTCTTTAAAAACATCACTCTCTTCACCTTTGTAGAACAGATCAACTTTCTCCTGCAGGATTTCTCTGGCTATCTTTCGGTTCTGCTCCACTGATCTTGTTTGATGACACTGGAGAAATACAATAGGACATTTTTACTGGAACTTTAACCTGTTTATTCTTCTGCTTTCCCTTTCAGTCTACGTACTCCTGCCACTACAGTACAGACACTCCACCCCAGCCCCAAGCCAAGAGCATCCTCCTACCAAGAACTGCTGGGACTTTTGTATATTTTGGAGAGACTGCCAGATAATTATTTGCAACTGTAAGTTGTCAGACTGGGTTTTGCATTAGTCTTTGATTCTGCCAGTGAACAAGATTGCTTCCACATTACCTTGGAAAGCTTCTTCTGAGTTTAACTTAACTGTGTCTTCCCTTTGTGATAAGGCAGCAAAGATTAATTTCAAAGTATTAATCCACAAGAAGTAGGTAAGAGTAATGCTTAAAAAGAATGCAAAATGAATATGATCAACTTGTTAAGGAAGGCGTCGTAACTAACACACTAGAGAGATGAGAATGTGACAGCTGCCACTGAAATACAGCTACAATGAAGATAAGTTTAATTGAAAACTACATGTCAAAGCCAGGAAGATCAGCCACGACCCCAACTTTATTTACCTACTGATAGGCAAAACTGCTTCTTGCTGAGATTCTTTACAATACTTACAAACTCCTCCTCCATGACATTTGTACTGTGATTATGCTTTACTATGAAAGGAGACTTGGAAGACACGGTGCAATTTCTGACTTAATGAAATAAAATCTAATTACCTTCACTACAATCCCAGATGGAATATGCTTCAAGACAACACAGTTGTTTGTCTTATTTGTGGCTTGACCTCCTGGGCCATCACCTCTTACAAACTGTTCTTCTAATTCTGCCTCATTTAGTCCAAGGAGATTGAGAGAGTTCTTCTTTCCTGCTGCCTTAAGTAAGGGCACACTGGGCAGAGAAAACTGCTGCTTCCTCAAAATCCATGGTCTCCAAAACGGTGTTCGTACTTCTCTCAGTAAGAATGTAAAATGAAATAAACTGGGAACATTCATACGGAAATGAGGACACAGCTTCTCTGGAATGAAACCTGAAACAGAAGGGGGGAATGGAGTTTACCGTGAGAATCTTTGTTTTACGATGATCTAGTTCCACTGCACGGCTTGAGCCGTATTTTGATACTCAGATTTATTTCAAGGATATTTGAACTGGTTTCATAGGCATTTGCCTTGAAATATTTACCATTCTGAATGGGATTTCAGTTCTCATTGCAATGAGCTTTCTTAAAATAGTCAAGATTATTATTTTGTTGTTGAAAGGGATCTGGAAAACAGTAAATAAATTAGTACTCCTACCAACAGTTGGAAAATATTAAAGATATCCCCAAAAAAAGGAGGAGAAAGGCAGAGTGTTTCTATCTTGCAGTCAGACCTGTACCATCTGAGTGGGAAACCTCTGCTGACACACCAATTGTGCCCAAGTTGTGTCTTGCTGGCAACTGTACCTGCAATTCACATGTTGACATGTGCTTGAACTATATCTGGGGAGGAGAGACAAGGGTGCAGGAATCCTCTTCTGAGGTTGCCTTAAACAGTGCTCTGAACTATTAAAAAAAAAAAACTGGTGGAAGGAGCAGCAAATTTACATCATGAAACTGGCCTAAGAGCATCTGGGCTTCCCATCTTTGCTGGTTCACAGTCATGGACAACTGCAAAGAGGAGGTGGCGGGAAAACAAAACAATCCAAAAAAAAAGAGCAAGACTATGTGAAGCATTTCAGTGCCGTGGATATGGATATCAGAAACCAGATCTGGCAGAATGGAGCTTGAGGACTAAATAAGTCAGAATGCAAAGATGGATTTTTACCTGTAAGAGGGATGTGTGACTGCACAGTCAAGCCAGCTGACTGACGCTACACAGCAGAACTCCGGTACGTATGTTTACAGCTACAGACTGATTTAGGATTTTGAGTTCTGAGATGCTTTTTTAATGCCAGGTTAGTACAAGAAACAGTAATCCTTACCCTGAACATATTACATGATCTAGACTTGTCTTTTGACCTTGGTCCATTACAGTAGTTTTCCAAATTTGGGGTCAGGCTGTAGCGTGTGTAGGATTTGGCGAGTCATCTAATAGGGCAAATGTGGAAAACTCCTGTTTCAAATCAGAAGTATTTCTCTATGTTGGTCTCTATGTTGGTTAACAAGCGTGCCCATCCTGCTCTACTCCCAGAACTTTCTAAATGGTCTATAAAGATGAAGGGAAAAGAACCCAGGAGTAAGGAGACCACTGGGTTTTCAATTACTGCTTCACATGCTGGTATTTCCCCGGTCAAGTTATTAAAAAAGGCAGGAAAAGTACATATGGATATGTTATCCTGGTGGGGAATGAGGAATGGCAGGTCCTACTGCTGTCAAACGGCACGCTTCAATGAGGCATTAGGTGAGCAATGAAAACAATACATGCTGTGATGCTTGAAATATTTTATTTGATTCAGAAGAAAATACTTCGGCATGTGAAGATGGCAATCACTTGGCAATAAACATCCATAAAAGTGGGATGTAACTTGAAATAGTAACTTCTAAGAAAGCTTTTATTGGAAAGTAAAGACGTCCACTTGGTGGCACTAGAAGGTAGTAACGGGGGGAGGGTGAGGGGTTTAGCTGCAAAAAACACGCCGAAAAACATGAGCAGAACTTCTGCCTGGTCCTGAGGTGAGCCTTTACTCACCGGCAGGTCTAAACGGGGCACTGCCAGTTTGAAGCCAAGACTGACGGCTCCCCAAGCTGCCCAACCTCAATAA